ATCGTGAGTTGCTAGGGTTAGATTCGATATTCCCTAAAGTGGTTAGACAATAATGCCTTCTTTTTTGAAAGAAAAAAAATGACTCAAACACAACACACCAAATGAATTAACTTTTTTGTGTTCACGATATATTTTATTGTTGCGGAAATTTGGCGGCTATAGTTTTTTGAAAATAAATAAATAAGCTTATTATTTTCACACAGTTGTAATATGTCTTAAGAAATACATACCGGTCAACTGTAGACAAACTGTTCTTAGCGCGATTACGATAAAAATGTCAATAAGTCAATTAACCAATTAAAATATTTGGCGGATGGCGTGAAAACATTACGTACGTTAACTGAAAGTCGGGTAACAACAATTAAATATGTTTGCTGGCATATTCAAATGTGTTATCTTAAACTCTTGGAAATAGTGTAAATTAATCTTACTATACCTGTATGATACATATGGACAATCTCTATTGTCTCATTTTCTAGAATATCAAATTGTTGGAGCTCTAGATCATCTTCGTGTTGTACAGGACGGTAGTCTGTCCACACAAATACGAGTTCATCCACTGTGTAGCTATCTGTGGTGAAAAGTAAAAGAAAAAAATGATCAGTAAAATGTCAGTTATTTCATGAATTGCTGCTAGTATCTGTGATTGTCAAAGGTTTATTTTAATTTAGTGTCTGTAACTGTGTATAATTACATCATTCACTGCCCACTGTATCTATACCTAGTTTGAAAATCTGAGATTAGATTATCCACTGTGTAGATATAGGTATTTTAAAAGTGTTAATGTTACATCATACTCTACGTTGGTATCTCTACTTTAGAAGGCCGAAGGTTACGTCAACCCACTATATGGTCATTTCCAGTGTAAAACATCTAAGGTTCCATCACTCACTCTGTAGATATCTATAGCGGAAAGTCCCTTGTGTGATAGTCGACCATAAAGCTATTAGTGGTGATTGAATGGAATATCTAATAATTATAAGAACATAACCACCGGAACATTGCTTTATTCACTTCTCGTTTTTGTAATGTTCAATTATTTATGCATGAATATACTGTGTGCCAATCATATTTCTTGATATTTTGCTGTTAGTAATTAAGGTTGTTTACAGTCAGGTAATTATGTTGTGTATAATTCACTTTCATCATGTAAATGTATGTATGGCCACACTGATTTAATTTTATGGATCCTTTGAAGACCCCGAAACTAATGCGAAAGGGCAAAACAAAATCCTGCCAAAAAAAATGCTGCTAAAACCACATGACTACGGAGCTGTTATTACGAATTGAACCACAGTGTATCAAAAAACAACAACAAGTCTTTATTTGTAGGAGGCACATGTTGATGTACACATCTTGTACTGTATTACTGTCACAGGTATCATCACCTTTGATTTTAAAAAGACTAGAGGATAAGGATAGCTTTACCAAAGGCATACACATCAACTCAATAATAAAGAAAAACTTACTGTGTTGTATTGAAAAAAAAATAATTAAAAGTGAACAATAAGTTTGTCAACAGCAACCTGGAAATTACCTTCTTTGACATTCAAATTACAGTTCTTAAAGTGACACTTCAGATAGACTAAGTGTAGACACAAATGCTCTAGAACTACTTCAACTATGTAACAAATTATAAGAGGCTCGATATTGAAAAAAAAACACCAACAGAGAGTCAACAAAAATTTTGATGCAGAAAATTATGTACATGCATTTTGATGAAAATTTGTCATATGATCAAAATATTACTGACTGTATGTGCAAGCAAATTATCCGAATTAGAAAATGAAAAAAAAAATAACAAGAAACTTTTGTTCACCCCGAAAGGGGACTTCGGCCTAGGAGCTTCCGCTGCTTTCGTTGCAGTTTTATTGACTTTAATGCGGACAAAGCAACCGAATTGACTTGTCGTCTGACCTAATTTTAGGCCACCATACACCTCCATTTCTCTCATCGTTGCAGAAGAAACGCTGGACAGCTCTGGACAGTATGTCCTTAAAGCTACCGATCTCTCGTATAGCTGTTGTGTAAATGTCACATCTCCCTGGAGAACGTCGATTTCGTACCAGTCTACAACAATCCCTCCGTTTTACCTCTGAACTTTTATGCTCACGTATTTTGGTGGTGTGGCCGCCATGATGGATCATTTATGACAAAATTGGCATGTTTTGAGACAATCTCCTTCCCATAGGTCTTTGAGCTTTACGTAACGCGCATCTAACTGTGCGGAGTTTGGTTTTGAGGTAGTCCAAAACGAGTTATACGACAAGTCGGCGCTTTGCGACAATATGAGTCGGCAAGTTCTGGACAGAAAACCGATCAGTGGAGACTCGTCGTCGGAGATTTTTTTTTTGAGAACAGGCGAAAACTAATGCGCGCGCGGATGTCATCCATAAAATTAAGTCGGTGTGGCCTAGAGACTATGGAAATACAGAAGAAGAAACAACTATTAACTATTTCGTCAATAATAAATCATCAATGGGACCAATCCCATTATTTTAATTAACTTCATTAAATTAACTAATGCAAAAAATTAAAACAATTTGTGTTCTGCTCACTACTATTTGTAGACGTGCTTGTGCTTTAAAAGACGTGCTACTGTTAGTAAACGCTATATAATTCGGAAATAACAGGTACATTTAGATGGAAATATACTAGGACGGCCTGATGGTAGGCATCTTCGCCAGCCAAGGGCCATTTATTCGGCCAAAGCCTCAATATTAACCCTTGGCAGATTTCACCACGATTTACTGTATGTCGCACGCCCTCAAACGATTATTATAATATTCACTTCGGCTCATTTGCATCACCCACTCAGAACTCACGAAAAAAACGACACATTACTTGGTAAAACTAAAATGGCGGAATCAAATGGACGTGTTGCTAGCTTTTTTTGTACCTGGGAGAAATGACGTATTTGTTGCAAGCACAGTCTCTCTAGCGACTGTGTTGCAACGAAGACCGGATCGGGCAAGTCGATATGTTATCAGTTTCGACAGTTTTGTCAGTTTGTGCACAAATATTTACACATTCCATTCCATCTTTATTCGCTTGCCCACAAAACATTTTCAACGTTGGAATAACACATTTTGGAAACGTGTCAACCTTCTGTTCTTGACTCAGCGCAAAGCCTACACGCTGTCAGTGTTTTAATAAGTGATGAGCTCCCCGACCTCCAGACTTATGATACAGCAACTCTGATTGGTGGCGCCAGCTGCTTGGTGCGCCCAATCAAATGACTCAATTTAGCTGCAGTGAAATACATCTTTTCCAAACACGATCACGCACGGGTTCGTTGGCCGGTTAAGAATGGCCGGCTTTAGCGAAACTGTGCGATTCGGACGATGGATGGTAAGTGGATTTAGAAATTTGACGCCATAACAATATGTCACAGCATTCGTGATGTTCAACGGATCATGTTAGTCATTGCAATTGCGCGTGATCATTCCTATTATAGGCTCAACCAGTGAGACAAGCGTGTTTTCGAATACACCAATTTATTTATTATGATACCTACTTTTTTGTACGTTAAAAAAGCCATAAGATAATACAATAAAGATAATACAAATAACAACAGGTTAACTTGATCTTGAATATAGCTGTTAATTATTGATAACATCCCCTGATACGTCATGAGCCTATCGCTATATATATATATATATATATATATATCAGTAATTTTAATGAAAAAAAAGTACATTTATCTTAGTAATAGTGACACCTGTTGTTTAGTGTGATGAACCCCCACGGTTGGGTACAGGAGCATAGAAGTTTTTAATTAAAATTGTTTTCCATAAGAAAAATGAAACCATCATACATGGCCTTATAAACAGCCTTTTACTTCATAGTGGGGTGGGTGGAGTAAAGCTGTGATTATTTTTATTACTTTCTGACCATCTAGTTTGCCATTTACCATGTCCATATAAACTAAAGCTCCAGCCAATATCAGATTTGACTACTTGTTTCAAGCTATGGCACTTGGAAATGAGTGTTGTGACATGTGGCAAATGTCCAACTGTCTTGGTTAATAA